CCGGGCACGCGGCCCTGCCGGGGGGCGCAAACTCGGGCGTGATCGCACCGCCTCGAGCAAGGCCATCGCTGGGAGAGGACGGGACATGGATGGGCGTGTCGTCGTGAAGCGTGTCCCGGCCCCAATCGGGCGGAGTCGCGTCCATGTCGAAAAGGAAACGTGCCAAGCAAACCCAACTGCAAGCAAGCACAACTGCAAGCAAGAACAACTGTTCGTTTTCCCTCGTGATACGGGCTGTGTTTGTTTTGCTTCAACGGTAGCGATGCACACGGGCGAGGCAGCGTTTCCCAGCGCCAGGCAAGGAGACGGGCCTGCGAGCAGGGAATGACCGAACAGCGACGGGTCGCACAGCTCGACTGAGAGAACGGCGTGAGCCCGAGGCCAGAAGAATGGATAGCGACTTGCCTCAGGTGCCAGGCAGCGACGAGGTCGCACAGCCACCTCGAACGCGGCACAGACAAGACCGGGGCTGGGGAGACGGGCAGCGGCGTGCCGCAGGCCCAACCTCAGCACAGTAAGTGAATGCACGGCGGGGTGTGAAATTACGACAGAAAAAGGTTGCTTAGATTGCTTTGACAAATGCAGGGGTCGAGGCAAAAAATCGGCAGCGCGCCGCAAGCCTATTGGGAAGGCAGCGGCCGAGCGCACGCCGAAGCAGCGCCTCAAGCTTGGCGGGCAGCCCAACCTCAGCGCAGTACGTGACCGCACGTCACACGACGGGACAGAACAGACTAAATTGTATATAAAAATGGAAAAGGTTGCTTCGCTTAATGCGGGGGTCAAGCGGGGTCAAAACAGGGCAGTCGGCAGCGCGCCGCAAGCCTTCGGGAAAGGCAGCGGCCGAGCGCAAGCCGAAGTGGCGCCTCCTCAAGCCCTGCGCTTGGCAGGCCGGTTCCAGCGCTTGCCCCCTCGGCGAGTGGGCTTGGGATTTCCTTTTGCCTGCGCACCCGTCAGCTGGGCGGTGCGTGCACCGGGCCGCGCGGGTCTGGCGGAACCAACCGCAGTGGCAGCAGCAGCTGCCGCAGCTCCAGAAGCTGCAGGGGCACGAGAGGACGCGTTCGCCCGGCGTCTCGCAGGCGGCGGCGGGGGGGTGGGCGGCCGGGGCAGGTCGGACGGTGCCGCACTGGGTGGTTCCTGGGGAGCCTTCTCGCCGGCGAGGCTCCCCCCGGCCGCTACGAAGTCGGCGACTTTGATGAGGAGGAAGTCGCGATCAAGGACCGCAACGAAGGAGTTTGCGCCGAGCGTGGCCTCCACACGTTGCATGCGGCGGCACAGGAAACCCCTCCGCTCTAACTACCAGACGCCCCCCAGCTGCCCCCAGGGCCCAAGGGCGGCGAGAGATCCCCCAGCTGCACTGCAGTGCCCAGGAGCAACCTCGTTTCCCCCAACAATTTTGTCTTGAGCCTTTCTTGAGCCAAAATGGCTTGAGCCAAAACGGCGGTTTTTTGGAATTCAAGTACTGGACGATGAACTCGCGAAGAGTTTTGCACATAGACAAGCTCGCCGAGTTCATGGCAATTTGCGGTGCAAGCGCTTTGGGCGCCACCTCCGACAGGATGGCAAGTTTCAGATCCGCATCAAACGTCTTCATGTACTCACGTTCGTATTTTGCAATTTCTCCTTCCCACTCTTCAAGGCCCCGTTGCCACAAGCTTTCCTTGGTTGGGAAGGTCGGATTTGACAGCGCGCGCAACCATGCGAACGGTTTGTGCTTGTTTTCTGGCTCATGCCGTGCATGCATGCGGCGCCAAAGTTCAAACCTATTGCGTTCAGGCACCAACATTGCCATAGCTGGGATCTCGCCGGCCTGGCACAACCCAACTAAAATGGCAAATGGATCCGTGCAAAAACCTTCGGCCTGATCCGTCATTTCGACCAATTTCCTCTGCTTGCGAAGCTGCTTCCTTCAGCAATTGCGGGCATTCAGGATCCACAGTCCCGATCCATGATGTGAAACCGAATTTGAAACGTTCCCAATCAGTTTCGGTACCCAGAAACGGTTCTGGAGCCTTTACCAATTTGGGGTTTAGTGGCTTGCGTTTGGAGTCGACAGCTTGCGTTGGCTGGTTGCTCGCTGTCAACTGTGCAATGGCGGCCTGTGCCACCGACAAAGCGGCATTAGTCGCCTGGGTTTGCTGTTCGAATGCACAGCACGTGTGTTGCCCAGCTCCTGCTGTTGAGAGCCGAGTTGCGCAGTCAGCTGCTGCATCTGACTGGTTTACATTTGAACTTGTTGTTCAAGATTTGCCATTGCAGCTTTGTCTGGGCAAAGGACAAGCAATGACTGTCGTGGAGTTTAATTAACCAAACGGCTTAACCCCTTATCGTAACCTAAAGGACCTGCCTCAAACCTTTCAGGATTGGTGCAAGGTGCAAAGGTGCAACCACTCTACGGCTTTGAAACCGGAGGGTGCTCAAACGCTCAAGGAAGATTCGTCCGAAGAAGTGAACACTTCGAGCGACTTTTGGGACTGGCTGTCAGGGATAGATGCCACTGGCGCGGTATCAGGTGACGAATGGGCAGTCCGATTCTCTGATGAGCGTGCTTCTTGCTGGATCTGTGCCTTCAGCTGGTGGACGCGCTTCTTCAGAGCACGTTTGTTTTCAGCAGCAACGGATCTCTTCTTTGAGCGAACACACTTGCCTGTTTGGGGATCGCATTTGCGGACGTGTCCCTTGACGGCACTTGTGCCTTTCGCCTTGCCTTTGCCGGAACCTTTGTTCCCTTTGCCTTTGGAAACCTTGCCTTTCTGAAGGTCGAAGGTAGCAGGCTCTGCTTTCGGCTTGCTGGCCGAGGCGGTTTTGTCTGCCGTGTTCTTCCGCCTGAGGTGGCGGCGGCCAGTGTCGGGCTGACCCAGGGCCCCGCTGTTGTTCTGTCGTGTTGGATGCTTTCAGCTCCGCGTGACCATGCGCGCGGGGCTATGCAGTTGGTATCGTATTGGGTTCAAAATACAATCGCGCACTTTTTACACTGCTAGGCAAGGAACCTGAAAGGCAGCGGATTCACGGTCATGGTTTTCATGACAACAAGACGACTATATGCATGCTACAGCATTTACTGTTCGTACGCGTTCGTACGCTCGCAAGGGACCTAGGCCCGGCTGAGCAGACGCTCGGGACGGCTCGGTGCTGGGGCCTCGCTCCATCGAGCGTCAGTCAGGAGCTCGTGCAAGGCTGGGGGTGGGCCAGCAGCACAGGGCTCAGACGGGACGGGGAGCTCGAGGAAGGTAGCCGCAAGCGCGCTCTGCGCAGCGACGGAGATGATGCCACTCCACCGAAGCACCCACGCAGCCTGGGCAGAAGCCTTCAACGTGGCGGGGGGTGCCGGCCGCCCGCGCACGAGCAAGGAGGCGAACGAACGTGGCAGCCTCAGAGTCCCAGCCGCCCCCGACTTCCAGGCCCGAAAATCGGGATAAGTTTTGGCGTCAGTTGACAAATCCGCGACCGCGCGTGGCAGACTAACGGGCAATTCCAGCAGTGGTCGGTTCCCGACTTTTGGTCGCGACGCTGGCACTGGCCTTGCAGCACATGCGGGCCCTGACGAGAGAAAGAGAGAGAGAGAGAGAGAGAGAGAGAGAGAGAGAAATCGGCGCACAAAGGAATGCCCCAACAAAACAAAACAGTAAGCAATGAGCGCCCAGACAGATGCAGAAAGTAAGCAGTCGAGCGCTTGGAGCAGGATCTTTTCCAATCCAAACGAGGAAATTCCTCATTTGGACTGAAAAAGCTAAGAGACTTATAGATGCGCGTGCAGAGAGGAGAGTGTGTCATCTCTCTAGCAACACATGTGTAGAAACACAGGGAGAGATAGAGATGTGTTGTCAGTTAAGAAACAAGACCCAGTGCGGGCTATGCTGAAGGCAGGAAATACGTGGCTCGGAGGGGGTCCCGTGTAGGCCTGCAAAACGAAACCTACTTGTGGGAGGATGGGCTCCTCTCTGGTGTGCTGAATGCAGGAAGTACGTGGCTCGAAGGGGGTCCCGGCAGGCCTGTAGAAGGAAACCCACTTGTGGGAGGGTGGGCCCCCCCCTGGTGATGTCGGTGTCCGTGGTTTGGGGAGACCTGTCGCCTCACCGCGTTGGTTTCACGAACAGACAGCTCGCTAAAGCACGCCCATCTGGGCGGTCCCTTCGGGGGGCCATGTGCTGTGGAAGGAAGGAAGAGAGCGAGAGAGAGCGAGAGAGAGCGAGAGAGGCCCCTTGGGGCGGCTCTCTCCTTCGGGAGGGGGCCATGCGTGCAGAGAGAGAGAGAGAGCATGCAGTCGAGAAACAAGACCCGGTAGGGGCTGCTCTAGAAGGAAACCCAGTAGTGGGAGAGTGGGTCCCCTTCCCCTCCCCCTGCCCAAACCCCTTTTTTTTGGATGTTCACCTCAAATCCCAAACTTAAACCCGAACTCAACCCGAAACCCAAAAGCAACAGAAGAGATAGAGAGAGAGAAAGAGAGAGACGGTCGACGATGCGAGTCAAAATCCAGCCGTGTAAAGAGTTAGAGCTGCAAAAAGCATGCTTGGCCACACTTGAGCAAAACTAGGCCATAGCTCTCACCGTTTCTGATACCTCACTCGGTCTCCAGGGGGCAATGCAGGCTGAGCAGCAGCACCTCGGTGAGTTAGCGCTGTAGTCACACTTTGCTATAACTAGTGCGACTCTGCAGTTTAGTTTCCTGGAGTGCCCAACCCCAGCGTGTCCTGCCCAACCCAGAGTATCTGTACCCAGAGAGGGTTGGGATGTTCGAATTAAAAGAATTTTTTTGGGGTTCGCACGGGTTGCCACTGGCCGGAGCGGCAGTTCGGTCCCCGGTCGTGAGCGGGATATGGGGGCGGGTTGGAGGAAGAACAATGTGAGAGCATCCAGTGCCTAAACGCTTGCGTGCGACATGGGTTTCCATTTGCATGCCTTCTGTGATTCCGTTGTGAGTTTTGATCGCGCAAAGACGTTGGGGATGCTCGTATTTGCATCATTCGCCTGTGGGCCGAGGTCCTTGCGAAGGTACTGGTAGAATGGAGCAGATGCCTCAGTTGCAAGAACTTTACTGATAGGCTGATAAGCTATCAAACTCGGTTGTCGTTTCGTGGTCGGTACGCAATCCTGAGGCCCTGGCCATTAGAATGCACGGTGTTCTTCTCAAACTTGTCGTGCCCTACTGCGGACACGGCGTTTCGTTGAACCTGTTTGGGCATCAGCTGTGAAGGTACGACACGACTGTCCAGCTGGCTCGTTGACTTTCCTCAGGTTCCGGTGCATCAGCCGACCTGAACTGAGACTGAGCCATGGCAGGCTGGATATTTGCGCCGGCTTTTTTCCAGAGTCGGCGGGGTCGAGTATGTGGAGTATCCCAGCTTAAATTTGCCGTAGCTTTGTGGGATCAGTGTTTGGTCCAGTAACTGAGGCTGTATGAGTCGTCTGGCGCGGGCCCAAGTTCAACGATGAATGTCGGCATGCCTGTTCAGAGTGAGGGAAATGCAAGATGGTTCATGTTGTTCAAGGTGGCACTTCCATCGGTGCTGGTGTGGTAACTTTTTCTACACCAGAAGCTGCCAGCAGAGCAGCCGGGCACTCCGTTAGAGATGCGCAGAGATGCACGAGGTGGTGTCCCCAAACAGGTGACAGAGCTGGACGGGACCGAAGTGGATGGCAGACCAATGTTGGTAAAACCAAACGAGCGCTGAGGGCTTGGCTTCTTGGAGGTCGTGTGTTGCCATGACGCTTGCTGTTCAGTGGGCTAGTTGAGGCCATTCACGCAAAGGTGGCGGAAAAGGCCGACCAGAAGTACGAGACCCAGACGACAGACATGGTTGAACAGTTGATGGCTCATGACTGTGGAGTTTGGTGCGGTAGTGCCGAGGCCCGCATCTTCTGGGACGGTGTTCCATACTCCACCAATGAGGGATACCTACGTTGGCACCACAGCTTTCGCAACATATCGGGGCAGTTGCACATGCTTGCCCGCAGCTCTGGCGTGTGAGGCAGATACTTTGAGCAGCTTGGCAGACTTAGCGCTTTTGAGCTGAGATTGCATTGTGGTGTGGGGCGAGGCGATACGGGGACATCGTTGATTTCGATTTTTGGAGAAGAAAAGATGGACGTGCAGCCCCTACTTGCTGCTCGCAACATGCAGAGAGAGGGAGAGAGAGAGAGAGAGAGAGAGAGAGACAGAGAGAGACAGAGCGAGAGAGACAGAGCGAGAGAGAGCGAGCGAGAGAGAGAGTGAGAGAGACTGGAAGGAAGGAAGGGGGGAGAGAGAGGGAGAGAGGGAGAGAGTCAGAGAGTCAGAGACTCAGAGAGTCAGAGAGTCAGAGAGTCAGAAAGAGGCAGCGAGTCAGAGAGTCAGAGAGTCAGAGAGTCAGAGAGTCAGAGAGTCAGAGAGGCAGAGCCGCGCCCGGCCCATGCAGCACTCTTAGCTGGTGTTTCTTTGGCCTCCTGCCAGTGAAGGTTCTCATGGTATGGGCTGCGATCTGAGTATTCACGGAATCAGGCAGCCAACCCCAATGGCAGCGAATGCTCATGAGAACGAGGTACGTGTACCTACAACACAGCTGACGAGGCAGGACCCGTCCTGCCCAGCAGATGACGAAGTGGAAGATGCTTTGTGCCAGGCGGAGACAGCCATTGAAAACCTCAATGGCTTTACAATTGATGGCAGAGTTATTTTGGTTCGCAAGGCGCCACGTAGATTCTGCCAGCGTGAAGTGCAGGTCATGTGCGTGGCTAACGTTCGATTTGCACGAAATCGACTGAATCTTTGGCAAGGATACTGGAAAAAAACCCAAGCAGGAGGAAGAGGAGGAAGGTGCCGTCAGCGCAGCATGTCTGTTTGTATGCAAACGGCGTCCCATCTCTGTTGCAGCTTGACGTGCAGGGCACACGCAAAGCCGTGGCAAAGGTGCTCTGCCTCCAGCGGTCGAAAGTGCAGCACCTGACAATGTGTGTTGACACTGAGGTAAGGGACCAGCTGATGGCACCAGAGTAAGCTCAGCTCCTTTCTTCATGCATGATCTTCCCCCCACATTCTCCATCGCGAGGTGTTCTGGAGTGGTGTCCCGATCGGCACCACCGAGGGATTTCTACGGAGTCAGCCCCTACCTCAGAAAAGCAACGAAGGAATCGAGGCTGAGTGGTAGTGCGCCTTGTGCACATGCTAGGTTCGAGAAAGTTGGCACTGTGGTCGACTTCGATTTCTGGCGAAAGGCCCCCCATGAAGACTTCGTTTCTGAAGTGATCTTGGAAGTCTTGCAGGATGGCACCTCCCTGGGGAAGGGTACGTGCCAGTTCGACCACTACCGTGGTGCCCAGCCATGTTCCCAGCACAGCCTCGCAACTACTTGCACGTAGTTTGCACATGTTATTTTCACGCCATGACGTCGGTGTTGGAGGCGGGCGTTGCACCGCCTACACAATTTCTCAATCGACGGCGGGGTCATGCTGCTGAAGGAGGACGAGGGTGGAAACAAAGGCGATCCCGGAGCGCTCGCGCCAACTTCAAGCCTCACCCCAAATCCGAACGCGCACGATCACGAGCACACACACGCGCACACACCGCCTCCCCTACAGGCAGCATGTGGAGACACTTGGCATTCCTTGGCGCACGTGAGTGAACAGGATGGGAATGTGTTTGCATGGGGGCCTCGCTGCTACGGAGCCCGATGCAACCGGCGTGAATGTCATAGCTTGACTCTACTCGGGTTCGATCCTTCCGAGTCTCAATGAGTCTCATCAGAGCCTCACTCCCGACCCCGCATCCACCATATTGTTCCATCACTGTTGAGAACCGAGGCGTCGCCAGCAAAGCAAAATGCTGCTCCAATGAGCACAAGAAGTCAACAAACACAGTAATAGTATTAGTAACAATAGTAGTGAGTGAGCTTGGTTTCCGTGGCTTGTTGTTTGCGAGTGGTTTTGGCTGGCAGTCACGGTTTCAGGCATTCCAAAGGGCAAAAGCAAAGGCAAAGGCACGGATGGCAGTATTCCGATTTCAGTAGATCGATGCCATCAACTCGTCTTGTCGAGGCAAAAGCAGGCCCCAGTGGCGAAAGTCAGAGGAGTAAGGCGGGCACCAGTTTGCCGATAGCTGTGGGAAGCTTTCGGCTTGATGCAGGCTGCTTTCATCTCGGACTTCTTGAGTCGTTTCAACCCGCGTATTAGGCACGTCCACACCGGTGCGCTTTGCCGAGAATGGCAAAAACCTAGGTGCTGCGTGACTGATGTTGCTGCTTGAAAGCATGCATGCAAAGCCCGATTCAACCGCATCCACCATGATCCGCTGCATGCCCCAGGTTTCACTTTCGTAGGACAGATCAAGCAAGGAGGGAGTTCGAGATGTTATTATCCAGCTGGTGTTTGAGTAGCTGTGCCGCCAGGTCACGATAGGCAACGAAAGGTGCCGTCATCAGACTTTGGCTGATCGGCTAGGGCGGCTAGGACATTGCGGAATCAGTCTCATGCCCCATATGCCGCATGGAATGTGGTTCCGGCCCTGGCGAGTTGGCAGAGCCCTTGCGGGCATCCACCTCAATCTTTACAATGGAACGAACTGCAGCGCAGTCCCTTCCATGCCCTTGTCGAGCTGAGGCCTTTGCCGCCGCTGCTCGGCAAGCTGTTGAGGCTATTGGTGGCCGAGACGGTCGAGAGGGTCGAGACGGTCGAGACGACCGTGTGTGGCGCGAGGCTGCGTGGACTATTGAATCGTCACTTGCCGTGAGCGCTTGGATGTTGGTGAGATCGTGCAATGATTCAATGTTCTTCTGCAGCAGGGAAGGCTTCGGTCCCGTTCCGGTCACAAATGCCAGATGTAGTGCCTGCCCCGTGAGCAATGTCGCCTTTGGATTGGGTGAGCGTCGGTGCAGCTGCTTGCCGGGATGGCGTGCCAACGATGATGGGCGCTGCTGGCATGCAGGGTGTCTGCAAAGCTCATCTCCAAGCAGGAGACCACATCTATGCGTCTCTGCTCGCTTCAACTTGTTTTAGTCGTAGTTTCTGTGGGCCTTGCTGTGATGAATCGGTGGGTTATGTTGCAAAGGCCTGGAAGCTGGGTTGGACATACAACCTCCACGGCATAGTTGTGCATACGCAACCTTGCAAAGATGACTGCCTCCACGACACGCTCGGTTGCTGTGCTGTCGTGCGTTTCAAGCTACCGGGAGCCGAGCCTGGACGAATCGAGCTGTGCATTGCATGCATTATCATGCAAGTCCACTCTGGTTGGGGGGGGGGGGAAGCAGGCCTGTGTTGCGCGGGCTCTTCACTTACGGAAAGTCGATGCTGTCAGGTGCTCTTTGGCAGCTTTTGCCCAAGGTCGGGAAGTTCACAGGTGCCGCTATGGTGTAACGCATCTCGGATCAAGGGAATACAGAAAGCGGCCGAACCTCATGCAAATGTAACCTAAGGCAGGGCCAGTACTTGCTCTACAGATCTGGAACATGCTCGACCCAATCGGAAGATCCAAGGCTGGGGTGCTGTTAATGGTACAGGGTACAGGACCTTCCCTGAACTGGAGCGGGTCAGGCCTCTTTCAGTGTTGCGGGCCTTGAGCGTTGTCGACCTTGGCTTGGGCGGAGGCAATGAGGCCGGAATCCCAGCAATCCCTCTTGCCGGTTTGCATTCGTTGCAGCTGCTCAGAGATTGAGTGTTGAGGTGGAGTACAATCTCCTGGTCAAGAACAGTGAGCTACTAGCTCGCTGGTGCAAGCATCCCCGGCTAAGTTGGCAAACAACGGTTTGAAGGGGCGGAATCGCGCCTCGCTGCAGTTTGCCAGAAACAGAGCGGTTCATTCCAGGCAATTTGTTTGGAAGCCTCTTCTAACCCTTCCGTAGTTATATTACTTTTTCCAGGATAGCAATGTAAGCGTTTTGCTTTTTTATTCGCGAAACACCTTTCTCCAAAAAACACACACGCCATAGCAACTGGAACCGGGGAATCCCGGGAAAAAGTTTGGGTTTCTGGATTTCTAGGAGTCGCTTAGCGAAGAACCCAAATAAATGTTGTGCTAGGCACAAAATGCCTTCTCCACAAATGTCATTCCACGATATTCCACTATGTCATTCCATACAAGTTTAATGAAGCAAGAATAATGCACAAAAGCAGATGGTCGATTTCACCCCCCGAACCCTAAACAGCTAAACGTTCTGGAAGCGTGTGCACGACCAAGCGTGCACAGTCGTCTGAACTGATGAGCTCTTGTCGATTGCTATGGGACCTGCCAGGCTAGGGGAAGCTTCTGGCGTGCGCAGATTTCTTTCGGCGGAGACGGCGCGATCCCTGCAGACTTCGCTTGGCCGCTTTGCTCGCTTGGGGCTCGTGGCCACGGCGGCCACTGGCGCCGTGGCAGTGGCCGTGGCCAAGGGCGCAGTCAGCACAGGAGCGTTGGCAGATGTGGCTGTAGCCGGGTCCACAGCCGGATCCACAGTGGTGCATGTGAGAAGTGCTATCTCTCGGCTTGCAATGGACGCGCTGCGGACACCCAGCCGAGCGCAACAAGCACTGAGTCACGCAAGGGATGCTGCAGAATGGACAGGACTCACGCGAGCCTTGAAGCTCGATGGCAAGGTTCATGTTTCACGAAAAATGGCTCTTTCGGAAGATGTAACTTCATTGTGTGGAAGCTTCGCAGCCGCTGTTCACGCAGGCTTAAGGGCTTTTAGAATCGTTCAGATCTCATGTCGACTTTATGGCTCCAAGGTACCCAGAGCAGACCCTCCAGAACCTCGAGAACCTCGGGCCATCAGAGCACTTCAAAGTACAGCGCCACTTCCTTGTGGCTTGTGTGAATGTGCCTCGGAGGCTTTTTTTGCAGCTGTACAGGGTAAGAAAAAAGGGCCTTCAAGGGGTCAAAAAAGGGGGTTTAAAAGTTTCGGGCTGAGGTCTGGCTGTCGGAGCTACCCGCATCGATTCCTGCAGAGCTGTGTCTGGACTCGCGAGACTCGGTGTGCCCGGGCCTGAGCAGGGCCTGCGCAACCCATATGCCTCCGCCGCATGGTCCTTGAGACCCGAACTCTCCTTTCGTGGTCCCCAGCGGCCCGTTTTAAGATGTTAAAGTCGTTTGTTTTTGCTCTGTATTGCCCGCCACATCTGCAAAGACCCCTCTCCGTTTCTTTACCTTCAGCAGCAGCAGGATTCTCAAGAGGGGAGGGTGCCGCCTGTCACTTGTGAACGGTTGCTCGGAACTTGGAGGAGCGAGCAAGCTTCCCCCAGAATTTGTGTCTCCAATCAGGACCTGGCAGCTGGCAGATTCCATGATCCCATGTTCAAGCAGCATATGCCGAAAGCCGAGGTTACAGGCACTTGGCAGAGATCTTGGTGGACGTCTTGGAAGCCGGCAGTCCGCGTGATGCCCGGCACTGCGCCGAGCTCGTGGACAGCTTCTTCAAGATCTGGGAACGCGACGGTGTTCAGTCCTGATGGCGGCTTTAGAGTCGTGCCTTCAAAGCGCTCAGGGCTCGCGGAAGCCTGCCCGATGACGCTTGCCCCATGTCCCAAAGAGGACCGTCGTGAGTCAAAGAGGCTTTACAGTCCAGCGGTGTCCTGCAGTCACGGGCCAGGCGCAGATGGAGAAGGACTAGCTGATTAGCATGGGTTATCATGATGCAGACGGAGCTGGCGGCAGGCAGCTCGTGGCCATGCTGGCCCCCAAACATGGGAGGAGATCGTCCAGGCAGCTGAAGCAGTCAACTCGCTTGCAAGCGTGCAAGTCCCCCTGTCCTGGAAGGCCGCATTATCCTGGAAGGATGTGGCCGACTCTGAACTTTTCATAGCTGTGCATGTGCCCGGGGGCCCAAGAAGTGGTGAAGCGCGGAAGTCGCAGAAGAAAAAACAACCAATGTTGCAGTGAGGTTCTCAATGTTGTCCTGGGCGCCAATGTGCGCCTTTCGCCCTGCCGGCACAAATTTTTGGCTTGCTCTGAGAGGCATGAAGAGAGAGAGAGAGAGAGAGAGAGAGAGAGAGAGAGAGAGACAGAGAGAGAGAGAGCGCTTGGAAGGAGCCCTCAGAAGGAGAAGTGTGAAGTGTTTCGGGTATGCTGTTTAGGTGTGTGGGTCGTGTTTTTCGGGTTCTGGCGGGGGAACTCCAACAAGCTGGGCCAGAACCCTGCGCAGTCTCACCGAGACAGGACTTGGTCTGGGCGCGCCCAGCGCGAAGAGGGGTCCTTGAACTCCTCGAGCCCCGTAGAAGAAGAAGAAGAAGAAGAAGAAGAAGAAGAAGAAGAAGAAGAAGAAGAAGAAGAAGAAGAAGAAGAAGAAGAAGAAGAAGAAGAAGAGAGAGAGAGAGGGAGAGAGAGGGAGAGAGAGGGAGAGAGAGAGGGAGAGAGAGGGAGAGAGAGGGAGAGAGGGGGAGAGGGAGGGGGGAGAGGAAGAGGGAGAGAGCGCGATGTAATTTGCCAGGAACCTGCCACGCCGTTAATATAAAATATGCCCGCGTGATAAAGCCCTAATTTTCTAATTGGATTTCATGCGTCTTTACACTTCATTTCATTTCATTCCTTATAAATTCAATTGAAAATTGTAAGGTCTTTTAGTATGTTTCGTTCACAAGTTCACGCGGATCACGCACTCCGTTCATAAATTCACTACATTTGTATCCTTGTTCACTTTGTTCTCTTCATATTATCCCGGGCGAATACAATATTTATACTGCCCGGGGTGTACTATATTATAATGAAGATAGAAGCTGCCCGCGGAAACACCCCAAACAGACGTACCATCTTGACTTTTAAACCGTACCATCATGAGCCTTTCTACGTGACAGGAACTCTCTTGACAAGGAACCCACCCTCGGGACCCCAACATCAGGTTCTCCAGCTATAACCGTGTAACACCTTGGAATCATGAGCAAGGAAACTAGACCATTGAGCCCTTTACCAGTGAGTTGCTTTCCCGGGTGATTTTGCCAGGAACCTGCCACGCCGTCACGGCGAACGCTTTCGAGCTGTGGGAGCGCTGCTTACTTTTGGAAATTCGTTGGAAGCCAACTCTTAGACCAACGATGACAAAAGTGCAATGCATCACCAGATGCCAAGCACAAATGCTGAGGCTGCACAGCCACAGCCTCATGTTGCCCTCAGCTGGGTGCGCCCCAGCTCTTTTGCGCGTTATTGCTCGTTGTCGTCCGGTGTTTCCGAAGAGCCTTGGCTGTGCAGCAGGTGCGGGTACCCATCAACAGGCAGAGCGACTGCCTGCGCTTCTTGGGCCAGCATTGTCGCAACGCCCAGCCCTCAAGTGCTTGGGTCACTCGAGAGAGGCACTCGAAAAGGAGGCATTTATAGAGGGGAGGAGGGCATGTCACCGGAATCCGCAAAGACAAGAAACAAGGCTCGACAGCTGACCATTTGTGACACCCCTCGCTTCGGTGAGCGGCCCGCAGCCCGGTGATCGGGGTTTCGAAAAGAAGGTACCCTCAAGCCTCAAGCAGCCTTTCAAGAACGCTTCAGGCAGCTACTTCGTTTGGTTTGCGGGATGCGCTTCCTGGAGTCTTTAGAGGCACCGGCTAGAAGGAGGCCGACCGTTGCTGAACCTTGTGAGGTTTTGGTGTTGAGGTGGATGGCTCCTCGTTTGGAGGGGATTTCCCAGAACCACAGAGACTCCTGGACCGTCTGTGGCTCAAGCGAGTGCAAGATGAGAACTGGACGACGGCAGCAATGACTCCGTCTGAGGACTCGCCAAGTACTGCCCGCGCTTGCAGCACCTGGTGCTCTCCTCACTGGCTCCCGCGATTTTTGGGTTTCTTGTGCGGCCTGGATGAGGCACTCAGCTTCCGGCCGGAGAATCCGTCATGTCGGACTTCGTTGGAGGCTCCTGGGTCCCTGGCATTCTGAGCCTGGTCATCCGGCGTTGCGCAGTTGAGAGCCCTGGCATGGTTGGGCCGGCGCCTGCTTACGTTGGACCTTGGCCGCGTTCCCAGCATCTCCCAGCTGTGAGCTTTTGGCGGCGTTGGCGTGTATCAGATGCGTGGTTGGAGCTCAGGAGCAGTCGCCATTCGAGTTTGGGGTGGCACGCGCACCATCGCTGCGTGGGCGCCCTGCACTTGCCAAGATTCTTTGCACCCAATAGTCACCGAGGTGCTGCCCACTGCTGCAACGAGCCGGCCTCAGCGAACGTATATGAGCCTATTATTGCCTACTCAACGTACATGGGGCTTATCACACACCATGGAGCAGAAGCAGGTCTTTGTGCCCAGCTGTGCCAGCAGTCTGATCCCGCAGATGCCGAACTCTCAGAAACCTCTTAATGACTTAATGCACAAAGCACGACAGCAACTGCTAGCATCTGGGAGGTGGTCGTGGGCTGGGCTGACCTGCTGTGCAGTGAGGCATCAGATCCTGTTGACATCGCCCGCGGTTGCAACGACATCCAGGATTGGCACCGGAATGTGAGTGTGCACTGTTTTCCTTAGTTTTCTTATGTTTGCGTGTTGAACTTTGCGAGGACTTGGATCTTGCACCCGTGGATTGGGGGAACAAAGTCCTGGAGGACTTCGCCACACAGGCTTGGACTTGGCGAAATGTCAAAAGAGGTTACATTCGGTTCCACACCTCCCTGCCGAAAAGTAGCCTCGGCAATCCTTCAAACAGGCTTCCTGAAGAAGCCAAGATGCTTAGAACCATTCAATCCTTGCATTCAATCCTTGCTGCAGAAAGGTGTGGTATGCAAACGCTTGAAGAGCTCCAGGGATTGTTTCTAGTTTTGCGAATCAGGGACTGCCTTCGTGAGGTCGTGCCAGTCGCACAACATAATTCGGCTAGCTACGACATCTACAATCTACAATCTACAACTGCAAGAGACTCGGCGTGATTCGGGCTTCCTCGCAGACCTGCCGGGCCCGCACAAACGGTTCGTTTCAGTTCCGCCTTAAGCACGAGAAAGTAGAGACCAGGGTCCGGGTGCAAGGTCATATGCAGCGGTGGGTTGTGTGGAGCAACCAGATCGTTGAAATACATCTTCTTGCTTCCTGAAACGTCGGGCACGGAACAAAACTGGAGGCTGCAAGAAAGCCCAAAACTGTCTGCTTAGTGCAGGGAGCGCGACAAAAAATCCACCGCTGCTGCAGGCGCCGGGTCTGAGAAGGCTGGTGCTCCGCCATGTGGCGCCCGGCAGCCCGGTGTGGGTTGATGTCTTAAGTATCTGAAGTGAACCGAAATTGCGAAAAGAGATTCGGGGTTTGGGGTGGGATTCGCTGGTCGAACGATGCCCAGCTGAGGCTTGATGCCACGGCAACACTGCTAGCGCCCCTGGTAGCGGTGGGGCGCAGCCAGGCGCCCTGGAAGCCTCACGTAATAAATCTTAAAAAAGACTATATTGTTCTTTCGTATTTCAGAGCTGCTTTGATACTTGTACAGATTCGGCGGCCTTTGGATGAACCCCATATCGTAGCTCGCCCAAGGCATGCAAGCAATCTGCTCAAGCCACGGTGCAGGGTGGCCTTGTCAACCTCCACTTGGCATTGCACGCGAGATCTGCAGAGAACTTGGTTGTTGAAGCCAAGTAAAGAGATCAGATCCTGTAGTGGCTGGCTGAACCTGGCATCCTTCATGACTGTCACTTGAGCACCCGGGTTCACGGCTGAGCTGCTTATCAGGCGACTTTTGAAGTAGGGATTTCCAGCCACAGTCCAGCCATCCTTTGTGGGACCTTCTGGGCGGTTGCGCTGCTAGGGCGGTTGCGTGAACGCCATCCCAAAGGAGAAGAACCCTCCAGTCCGCAGTGAGATCCGTGCTATAGTCAGACTTGGGATGTTAAGGGCTGATGGGAATCTTGGACCAAGACCGCAGGTTGCATCCGCATAGTGACACGGCACACGGGCTGAAAACGCTGAGGATGTCAACAGGGCCCTTTGCTGGTTGGAGGCTGGCTTTGAAACGCTGTTATGCTCTGGTAAGGCATGTCGTCACTGGATTGTTGGAGAGACCAAGTCCTGAGGCGATCTCACAGTTGAGGCAGCTGCGTTCCCTTTGCTTGGACTACGTGCGGGCCTCCGGTGCAAGCTGGGCTTGAGTTAGCTTAGCTCTTGACTTAGCGGCCCGGACGATGCCTGGAAAGCAGCAAGTTCTACTCAAATCCGGTTCATCTATCCGTAGCACCAAGTTGGTGGTTAAGTTGGTGGTTGGAGGCTGGAGTCAGCTGGAACTGATAGATAGGTCCGGTGGGCGAGGGTGGAGACGAGCAGGTGCATGCGTTCACTACTGGTCGCGGACACGATGCCAATGCGTGCATGTTTCACACGTGTAGACTGTGCATGCATGATGTCGCACTTCAACGGGTGATGATGCGTTGCCTTTCAGGCCCTTCTAGTCTGGGAAAAGATTGCTTGCTCAAAAACCCTCGTGCTTTGTACGTGCTTCTAGCCCTGCGGATGCGTGACGCGAGAGGAATGTGATGGAATGTGTGTGACGTGAGGCTGCACCCCTGACCCTCACAGACATCATGACATCGTTGACCTCGTCCAGCTCATTCCCCAGACAGCAGCTCATTCTGCTGTAGCGAATGTAGCGAACCCCAAGCAAGAAGGGCCGTTTGTTCGCTCCTGCTAGGTGGTCACTGCGCCCTTGTTTCCTTTACGGCGCACGGCTGCTGCCCCCTGAGATCTTCTCTGAGTCCCCTTTCGTGTGTTGATGCTCTGAACGGTGTGCTGCTGCAGCTCATGGATGGTTCAACTGGTGGCAAGCGCACCTGAGGATATACGTATTGAGTAGGATGCAGACGTGAGTAGAGGCGAGTAGAACATTCTGAGCAGCTCAGGCCGCCGGGAAAAGACCAGTCAGTGCATCCTTAAGCACGATCTCCTTTGCACTGGTGTGTAGAGGGCGTGTTTTAAGGAGGCCCCTTGAAAAGCAGGTTTATCGCAGGCAGAGCTGGAAAACTGCCCCCACTACCCTCCCCCGGAATTCGACGATCCTCAGGCCACGGAGTCGACGACGACGCCCTGCGCCAGCTTGTGGCTCGTGCTCCGCAGTGCGCTCCCCACGCATTGCGTGTCATGCTTGCTGGCGGCCTGTTGGGAGTCGCGCAGTTTTGCAGTTGACGCGCTGACGCGCATGCTCAATGCTCAGGCTGGAGCAGGCCCGGCAGTCAGACCTTCAAGATTCTGCATTTCTCTTGTCTTTTTCGTTCTGTTATCTGTTATCTTATTTGCATTTCTGTGCTCTTTATTTGTTTTGTTTCTTTACTCTTTGATTTAGTTTTAATATAACCACTCGAAGGTTTTGTCCTCTCTGTGTCTCTTTTCATCTATTCGTTTCCCTTTTGCTTTCATGCTGAGAGTCGAACTCTTCTTCTTGCTTTCTCACACAACAACTCCGTAACAATCACTTAAATCCTTCAAGCAGCCAGGTGCGCCTCTTCCCAGACTCGTGGCGGCAGGTTGGGAACGTCTCCCACGGGCTCAGGGTCCTTGCCCGGGCCTCTGGAGATCCACTGCCTCGCCGTGCCTCACAGGGTTTGTTCTCCAGTGATTTCCAGTGATTTCCCGTGCTCAGGTGGAGGCGCTTCCGCTGCGAAGCTTGGCGCTGAGCTCGCCGCGCTCCGAGCGCCAAAGAGGGACATGCGCATGGCCGCACTTGGTCGCATCCTCCCACCATATCCCACCGATTGATTTTGCTTCTCAAGGCGGTTGCCCCTGGAGCCAGGAGACGAGGCATGCTTTGGATGTGATGCATGATGTTGCATGTATCGTGCTGCTCAATCAGGGGCGGACGTGTCCAGCGACCAGTGCTCAGGCTCGAGGTCGCCGGCAAAGGCCGCAGGGAGACGTTGCGTTCGGGGCCCCTCCAGCCGCAAATGGGGCTGCCGGCGCGTGAGGCGTGAGCGCCTCGAACATGCTGCAGCTCGTGGCTGAGCTCCCTGGCGTCTTTCGGAGAGGAGAGGCTGCTTCATCGTCTTTGCCATCGACGACGCGGCGCCTCTTTGAGGACCCTGGCGAGGAGTGTACCTACCGCCTGCGGAGGCTGGAGGACCTGGCGGCCGAGCTGAAAGAGGGCTGGAAACCTGTCGCTGTCGACGGACTCACTGGACCCAAGCCTGCCAAACATTGGCACGACTCTGAGTCTGATTTCCTGCGGACAGTGCCAGACAAGGGCCTGGAGCTGCACCATGTTTGGACACGCGCCTGGGAGTTTTGCCAACCTGCGGATGAGGAGCGGGTGCGAGAGATGGCCCTTCAAGCGATTTGCCGCCGGTTTGCGGGAGGCGAGGGCTGGCTGCGGGAGCGCCTCGCAGACCTGAAGCCCCAACCAAAAGACATGGTGATCTTCTTGCCCGTGCTCCGAGCAGAGCTGGAGAAGCTGAAAGTGGTGCTGGCCGCTGTGACCGCCGGATCCTCGGGCGCCGAAGCTCTCGCAGCCAAGGCCTTGGCCAATCAAAGCAAGGCCGAGGCCCGGTGCGCGGCCGCCGCGGCGAGCGTCACGTCACTGGCCCAGCGAGGCCCGCGGCAGCAAGCGGCACAAAAGGCACAACCGGCACCACTCCGCCACGCGGAGCTCCGGGCGCCCAGGGCGGCCAGTGTGCCCAGCTCACACTTGCCGCCGACATCTCCCAGCTCCCCTCAGCCGCCCATCCAACCGCCATCTTCGGCTGTGGAGGGCATCCAGCGCTGGGTGGAGAGCGTGCGGCAGACGGGATCGGTGGCCGCGAGTAGCAATGACAGAGATTGGCGCCGGCAGCTCGATGTGCTTCGCGCGGGCCTCACAGGGACGAAGGCGGTCTGCTTGAGCCCTGAGAAAGCGGAGAAAAGCTCCAGACTCCCGAGCCTCCCCAGCCGACGCAACTCCTCGGCTTCGAATCTGGAGGAGTGTCCGATTTGCTTGGAGCCACTCCGGCCGCAGAAGCAGATGCTGGTGCCGCTGATCCCTCTTCCATGCGGCCACTCCTTTCACGCTGCCTGTGCGTACACGTCTCAGCTCAGGGTAAGCAATTTTAAGTAAAGTTGTGAGGGAATCATCCTGGATGGTGTAGTAGGGCAGGGAAGATATTGGTAGGGAAGAGGGCCACCACAAGAAGCAGAGGGAAAGATCACCTTGCCCTGCCAAGGTCCCAGTGGCTGCAGAAGTGTCCACGATGCCCAATGTGCAGGCATTCGCCATTCATGCCCGTGCAGAATGAGGACGAGGGTGGCTCTGCGCCTTCTCATCCACACCTTGTGCGAAATGGTTTGTCGTCGTCGACTTAGGGACCTGGAAGCACTTCTCACGAAAATTTTACGCAGCAAGAAGCTGCAGAGATGTTCGCCAAAGCCCTTATCAGAGGGACCATGGGTTTCACAAACTGGCGCACTGCAGAGCCTTGCCTCGCAAAAAAAAGTTTCTGTCTCGGGATGTAGGTGCGCCTTAGTCTATAATCGTCTATCAGTGTATCAATGTGTGTCATGTGATGTGTCGCCTCAGCATCTTGGAGCCTGCAAGGCGCTAGACCAAGCGCGTGGTTTTCGAATGAGGCCGCGGGGGAGTGCTGTAGCAACCTGTAGCAGACACGAAGATCCGTCATCATACTCGTGATTACTCGTGGTTGTGGCTAGCCCCTGTGCGATTTTTGCTGCAGGTCCTTGTCGCTGTTCGCTCCACTCACAAACAGTTTCCTTGCAGCGAAGCTGTGGGGCACCTGGAGGCTGGACTCCAGAGTGGAAACGGGGGCCGTTTGTTTGGTGACCTTTTTGGAGCAGGTGCTTGCGGCACCTGTGGTTGGGCCCGCACAAGCTCATGCAGAAAGGAGTTTCCCAGGAGTGCACCAGCCTCAGTGGTTGGGCCACCACCCAACCCGCCGGTTTGTCGTTTTTTGGAGGCATCCTTTTGACAAGTTTCTGATGCTTTCGGAAACGACCCCCCGAACCCCCATGCCCAAGCCTAATTGGAAGGCAAGTAAGTACAAGCAATCACGGTGTGAGCCAGAACCTAGACCACGCAAGGCATGTTTGTGTGCCAACATTGACAGTGGGCGTCAAGGTCTGATTGACGACGAGGGATTGCAGTCAGTCGTGGAGACCTGCTACATGCTGCGGGACCCACAAATTTGTTTGCCACATGCATAAGTGGTATTAAGTTGCGCAGAGGTGTGTAGCTGTGTCCATACCCATGGCGACATGCCAAGATTGCAGACGTAGGACTTCACGGTGGCCTCCCACCACATCACTGATGCTGGGGTTCGATTGGTCCTTTTGGCGTGCCGCCACTCGGCTTAGCCTTGTTTTCGTGAATGCCTGTGATCTTTTGTTGCGTGGTTGTCCGAGGTGAGCTCTGTCGGCTTCGATGTGGTGGCTGTGGAATTACAGCCTGCGCCTTATCGCTTGAAAAGTTGTAGAGACTTCTGGAGGGTTCGCAGTCCTAAGCCCACAGAACCACGGAAGGACACCTCCTTGCAGTTCCTGGCAACGTTAACGCAGCCACGGCTGGAACGTTTCTCGCGCCTTGTCTTTCTGTGGCACCAAGGTGCGTGTACTACCAGTGTATATGTTGGATGTCCCTTAAAGCCCCCCCCGTATTCCATAATATGATGTCCAATCTGTATCCGTGCCCGAGGCTGTGGTTCTCAGGTGTCACCTCTCATGGGCTGCATCAAGCCGAAGTCGACATGTCCAGAGCTTGAAATTCAGCAGTCGCAAGCAGTCGTTTCCGGAGTATACCAAGACTCTACCAAGTGTGTTTGTGCCTTAGGCCTTGGACATACTTCGATGTGGACATCTGTTGATTGCAGCGGAAAAGATGGGAAGCTATCACGCTGGACAAGGGGTGTGAGAACGACACAGCATCCGAAGCCCAGCAAACGAGAGGAAGACGCTCGCCAGCCGAGATGGGCTTCAAACCCTCATAGACTAGATTCACGAGGTTGCTGCCTGCTGAGCCTGCACACAAACCGTCACTAACCTTTTTTCAAAAGTCCTGGCGCCGAAAAAAACATGCCCCCATGTCCCTAATTACTTGCAAAGCGCGCTCGCAAGAAGATGACAACAAGGGTACCAACAAGGCACAGCCTCCCAGACCAAGAGCGGCTCTTTTTGGAAAGGGCGTCCTGAGTCCTAGCCGTTTTGTCCTAACAAGTTGCAGTCGTTGACCCATGCCGCGCAACGCGTCAGCTGATGGCGGAGCTTGATGGTGATGACGATAGCAAACCACCCCGCTTGGCATCGGACACCAATGCGGAGGTGGGAGAGCTACTGAGACCCACTAGCAAAACATTGTGCATGGCATGTGCGCCAAAGGAAATGGTAGCCTGTCACAAAGTGTGAAGGTACTGCCCTCACGACGGCAGAAGGCACCAACCGCGGTGCATGATGCCGATGAGGGCAAGAAGATGAGCAAACGGAAGAAGCGGAAACTGGAGCCTGGCTTGGAATCTGCGTTGGATGTGGTTTCCTGAGGTTGTTCTTGACACCAGTAGCTGGCAGCCGCATCTCCAGGAGCAGCTTGCGCAGAAGAAGGCAAGCAAGGAGCTGCGTACGCAAGTGCTGGAGGAACTGAAGGCTTCCCCCCCTGCCCATGACCAGTTTGATGTGATGGTTTGGTGTTTCTGGGTCCGGTCGCTTGCCCAGGCTGTACAACTGACGGCAGAGCAGGCCGAACTCCTTAGAGCCTCGCAGAGCACGAGGCGGCCCGCCTCGAGTCAGTTCACAGGTGATTTAAGGGCTGTGTTCAGGTCTAGTCTAGTACGGTGGATTACATAGCAGAGTCGAGATCCAGGTTGTCCAAACGGCAGCAGAAGGCCATGGCGCAGCGCCGTGCGCAACTGGGTGTGCCTCTGACCTCGGACATGAAGGAGCCCCGGGAGCTTCCAAAGTGGTGCTTGACATGCCGAAGCTGGTGCAGGATACGCTGAAGCGACGGCCCCGTCAGCTCAAACGGCGCCACGAAACCGAAGCACAGGCGCCTTGTAAGCGTTGCATGGGCTCGTACCATCTGCTGCCAGGGCGTTTCTGCTCACTGTCCTTCCTTACTGGAAGGAGGGCGGCAGTGGTGATGCTGGAAGCGATGAGGCAAAGATAGCAAGCTGTGCCCTGCATTCTGCGTATCGTGGGCTGCGCCTGTCCACAAGGTGTCCAGCGAGGACCCGAAACCCAGCTGTATCCTCAGCAAACGAGTACCCTGCTTTGAGTGCATGGCCACGTGACTCAGGCCGAGCCATGGCAAAAGCTGCAGTGGCACCTCCCACCGAGGCCCATCGTCACACGAATTTGCTTGACAGGTGAGTGCCTGCAACTTGCCCGCACCAGGCTGGTGCAGGAGCCCCCCAGCAGAATGTTGCAAGGCCCCCCGCTGCTTGTGCATGCTTGTGGCTTGTGCCGTTTTCTGCCTAAATGCATGGCAGTTTCAGTCTCAGGGCGCATCCTCCGCCAAGCAAGGCCAAGGCGAAACCCAAGGCCTGAAGCAGCTGTTCTCATGGCTTTGCAGCCTTGAACAGTATGAACAACCATCGCTTACATGGCCTTCAGAACAGGCCGAAATCAAAGCACCCGAGCCTGTTGAGCCCGCTGCACAGCCACTGGTGCGAGTTGGGTCCTGGGATCTGATGTTGGGTCCATTCGCATTTGGCACAAATGGCTTCTGTGTCCCGCATCTTGGCGCCTGGCCCATGGAGTGAGAGCCCTCCAGGTGCACGTGCAGCGGACGACTGACATCGAGGACCGGACTGCTTAGGTGGAGGGGCGCCAGAAACGCTGGGGCCTTGCCAGGACCAGCGCTCAAAGCTCCCAGCTGTGATGATGGAGCAGGAATTCACAGAGATGGTGTTGGGCAATGATGTGATGCTGGCCGGGGCCTTGATGCCTTCTCCATGCAAGCACCGGCCATGGCGCCATGGGTAACGCAGCCCTGTGGCGAGCATTGTTGGCAAACCTGGCGAAGACCTGGTGCCGAGGTCTGTGGTGATACGGGATGTGGCAAATCGACACAGGCTGGACGGTGACCAGTCTCCATGTGGCACAATTTTCTACACTTCTACGAGGTGCCGCAGTTTCTCTATGAGCAGGAAGCCTAGCTTTCCCTAGCTGCACGGAAAGTTTGAATGTGTGTGAGGGTGCTTGCAGCTGTTTGTCTTCATACGCTGTCTCAAAACAGGACCTGGTAGTCCCGACACCGAAAGATGACATTGATTTGCAACGAATGAGCATCGATGGGTGCCTAGCTTTAATTTTGTGGCCTGAATAGCAAAACACCCTTACTTGTTGTCCCGGTATATGTGTGCGCTGGCGCTTGCTCAGTCTTCGTCCAAGCAGCTGCCGCGATTGGAAGATGCCCGTGAGCTCTTTGCGTCGCATTTGCCGTGCGCGCCAGAACAGCTGCGCCGGGTGTACCTGAGACTGGCCCTGCTGTACCACCCAGACAAGTGCTCAGCCGAGGATTGGCAAGTTGTCCCATGTTCAATGCTGAGGGCCTCATAGGGCATAGCCTAATCTCTCGGCAGGAGCAGCAGGAAGCCACTGAACTCTTCCAGGCCATCGCGGCCGCGTACGAGGAGCTGCTTCAGCCAGAGCCTGGGCAGCTGCGGCGCGTGAAGAGCCGCGTCGCCGCAGCCGCAGAGTGGCCGGCCACCACTTAGAGCCGACCTGGGCCCTCTCTTAAAGCACCACCCCTAGCCAGCATCCTGAAGCCTCGTTGTAGCCTTCCCCACATGGCCCTTGGGGTTTCATAAGGTATAAGGGATTATAAGGGTATAACACTGGTATAACTCTAAGGATGCTATAATAGCAAGCAAGGTTGGGAGACCTGGATGAGCTGCGGCGCCTTCTCGAGGAAGATGCAGGCCGAGCCACCGAGCTGGATGACCTCGGCGTCTCTCCGCTGATGTTTGCTTGTGCGGGCGGATGCCTGGAGGCTGTGCGGTTGTTGGTCGAGTTTCGGGCCGACATCCTGGCCAAAAACCCCATCAACTGGTCGGTGCTGCTGTATGCCTCGCTGGGGAATCATGCGCATGTGGTGCACTGGCTGGTCGAGCAGAGTGCGGAAGTCACACCGCATGAGCTAGTGCTGGCTGCGTACACCGGGAATGCGGTCAGCCTGGAAGCGCTCTTGGACCAGTACCGCGGCTCAGTGCCAGAGCTGCGCACTGAGAGTGGGAAGTCCCTCCTCCACTTGGCCTGCGAAGGCTTGTGCTTCCTGAAGCGCTCAGCCGAGGAGCACGCGCAGTGCATAAATCTCGTGCTCCAGCGACAAGTCCCGGTAGATCAGGCAGAGCCAAAGCAAGGCCGATCGTGCTTACAGAACTATGCGCCCTGGCTGCCTTGTAAAGTCGTAGCTTGCGTTTTGTCTTGCCGATGGTGACCCAAAAGACTCCCTAAAACGCAGCTGTCAAGCAAAGCAAAATCGACTCAGAGCGGTGACAGGTGGATGATGTCCGGTGGCGCACTCGAAACTTGGAGGCCTCTGCTTCACACATGTGGGCCTTGGAGAGGCTTTGCGAAGAAGGAGAAGGGTGAGCAATGGCAATACATCGCATGACTGTATACTGCAGTGTGGGAGTTTCGGCTAGGGTGTCCAGAGCAGTTTTACATCCGACGATGTGCTACCAGTTCAGATTCTTCGCAGCCGGCGGGTCCCAGCAGACATCACTCCAAACTCCGTCCCAGTTTTAAAACGTGTGTTTTCTGTTCTTTGTGCTTCCCTGCACCAAGTAACATACGGTAGCTACTTGTGGTAGACTGTGTTTGTGCAGAGCCCGTCTATTTTTTGTTGCCGGGGGCATGGGATGACTGACAAGCAAGTGACAAGCAATGTCGGTTCCCTCCAGGAGCCAGCGTCACCAAGGAGGATTCTGCCGGACAGAACGCGCTGTCGCTGGCTGAAGCCAACGGTCTGAAGAAAGTTCGAGAAGTCCTCTTCATGTACGTATAGAGCAGTCTGGCATCGCACGCAGAGACGGAGAGATTGCGAAGTTGTCGGGCGAAGGGCTCGGACCCGAACTCTGTACGACCGGACCTGGAAGATCATCTCAGCCGCATCGTGCAGGGCCGCGCTGTGATTCCCGCATGCCTGCTTGGGATCCTCTTGCAGGATCGTCCCTAAGACGCAGTCCTTTTTCCATCGCCAGCTCTCGATGTTGCGAAGTGTGGGAGGCGAAGCAAGCAACTGCAGTTGCAGATGCGTCTGCTGTGTGCATGGCATGGGCATGTCGTGAAGCTCAAGGCTTCTCGTTTCAAGTTCAAGCATTGAGCATTGATGCCTGCCTCTAGGTGCGGCCTCTGCAATGGCGATGAACACCTCATAGGTGTGACGCAGCCGCGTCGTGCAGGGTGCACAGGATGGTGCGTTGCTGTGGTGAGGATGCAGTCAAATAGTTAGCAGTTAGGCCCTAACAATTAGGCCTTTTCTTCGCACAGCTTGAGGTTGCAGCGATCTCCGTCTCGCAGTGCTGGCCTCAGGAATGTGCCCGCGATGAAGCCGGTGGAGTTAGGGCGCGGATGGGCTCAGTGCTTCGCAGTACTTCAGGCGAGTGGGACAGGAGTTGAACCAGCCAGAAAAGGTGGGCTACCAGGCGGCCATGACGTCCTTGAGCACATCATCTTCCATTCACCGCAGCTTTTCTTGATGGCAGGTCAGGTACGACAAGAGCCACTGCACCAAAGACATGCGGATCAAGTTCATGACCGACGGGATTCTGCTGAGGGAGGCGCGCAAAAGCAAAGATGCTCAAGATGGCTGAGACGAGGGCGACTTCCAGACGCGTCCCGGGTGAGGTTGATTTCTCGCGTTGCCAGGTGCAAGCGGATTTCCTCTGTCGCAAGTACACGGCCATTGTCATTGACGAGGCAGGTTCTCAAAGATTCCAAGTGACGAGTGCCGTCGCGTGACTCGAGACGTCCGTGAAGTGTATGCATTGCGCTTGGCAGGCGCATGAGAGGGGAGCAGCTTCGGCAGAGTTGGACACCTTCCCCCCTTTTTTTGCAACTTCAGCCGATGTAGTACGAGCTGCATGAGCTGCCTGCTCCCAGATGTTGTCAAGCCTCAATCTGCACTGACTGCTAGAAGCGGAAGGTCTTGTTTTTTTCTGGACATGCTTGGGACGCCTGGCCTTGATGCCGGGCAGGCGTAAGTAGGTCCAGGCCCTCGTGTTGAAGAGATGCCAGGTCAACTGCGACATTCTGATCGGCCTCCTTTCCCGAGCTGTTCAGCGGCGGCGGAGGGACTATGAGGAGGCACCGGAGATCCCGGAGCTTGCAGCGCACTTGCACCACATGCCTGGAGGCAGTAGCCCGGAGGAGGAAAGCAAAGGGAGGTGCACGGCAGACGTCCTTAGCATCGGCACATCTTTCGATTTGCGGCACATGTTCAGATGCCAACGATTCGCAGCTCCCACCTCCCCTGAAGCTTGCCAGGGCCTTGGGCATCTTGTCTGGGCTTTGTTTGCCCGGTCCTGGGATGAGAGAAAATATTGGGGAGAGGTGATCATGTCTGCGACCTTGCGGCTTTGCGACTTCACGGAAAACAACCAGTCCCGGCCTCACGTATGAATGCCAAGAATCGGATCGGGGTCCAGTAAGCTGGTGAGTGTGGATTGAAGGCATGAGGCAGGAGTAGTATACTTACTGCTGCGATGTTACGAGTGCCAGCTAACCAACAGTAGGTCCGTCTACACTCACTGCTTCAGATCAAAGCATCCGAGGCTTTTTCCATCACCTCCCCCGGTGCTGCGCATTGATGCTCGCACATTCCCCGCTCGGAGCCTGAGTTGCTCTCCAAAAGTGTTCTAAAGTGGTGGTCTGAGTTCAGATGGGCAGGTCACAGTTCATTTTGCTCGGCGAACAGATGAAGACTACATCAAGGCGCCAAGCCAGACCATTTCAGAACGTAAGCTTTGTCTTCACGTCTTGGCACCTCCGACACGCTCAAAAGCCACAAGTTCTCGCAGCTTGCAGGCGGCGCATAGGTCAGTGGCGCTCCCGGTGGCATGTCGTAAAGCAGCATGGCGATCAGAGTAGCACAGCGTGACATGGCCTCAGCCCAGGTGCTCCAGATTCACAAGGAACTGCCTCCAGGGAGCATCTTGGTCTGGGCCTTACGCTGCTCGGAGGTTGTGAATCTGCTGTTGGACGCTGCCAGCCAGTTTCTGGGTGTTGAGTAGCAACATGTAGCAACCAATTTGGACAGGTCTTCGTGACTGGGCGGCAGGAGGTTCACCGCCTCTGCAGGACCAGTTGGGTGACGCTATCGCCGGCATGGATGTGCTCGGCTATTAGTTGCATAGGCTGCAGCCATGAAACCACGGAGTGATTGATTGCGAGGATGCTGCAGCAGTCGCAGATGATGGCTTCGCAGCATGGTGTCATGGCCTGAGCCCAACGAAAGAGTGTTGGACATGTGATCTGTTGCCACTGCTTGTCGCAAAGTGGCGCAGTAGCATCTGCATAAATTTTCACAAATCTGCATCTTGCCACCGTGCTGGCATGTGACCGGGGGCCTGTACTCCTCTGTAAGTCACAGGAGGTGCCCGAGGCCGAGGAGGCGACGCCAGAGCGAGGAGCCAGGGAAGGAGGGGAGAGAAGTGAAGGGCAATCCCGAGGAGCCGCAGCGGGAGCTGGAGCTGGAGGCATCAGACGACGAGGCTGCCGAGGAGGACCCGGAGGATGAAGTGCCTGGAGCCCAAGAGGGAGCCTGCAGTGGGGGACCTTTCTGCTCTTTTCTGGTTATTTTTTTTTTGGCGGTCAGGCTGCACAGCGACGGCAGCAAGGCAGCTCAAAGGGTCAGCACATGTCAGCACCCTTTGACCGATTTTGACAGGCTGACAACGGTGAGAATCCAGCCAGGTGGGCACATCCTTCAAAACTTTCGAAGCTTTCGAGGCTTGGCTTTCCTTGGTTCAGGTGCCCAAAGAAGGCCAAAGGCAAAGGCAGAAAACGCAAGGCAACACCTGTGCCTGGCACCCAGACAACTTTCTGTCTGATGCACAACCCACCCAAGGGGATATCATATCATGCTTGTTCACGTCCAGGTCTGAGAACCTTCCGGGCGATCCGAATGCAGATGCGGGAGGTCGCAGAATGTCCAGGTCCTGTAAATCGGCACTTGACACTGGGTCGTACAGTGTCGGCGTGCAAGGGGGCCCAAAGCCCAAGAAGAAGCGCCGCAAGAAAGTCAAGGAAGCCGCGCATGGTGAGGCAGAAAGCTTTCTTGGGCTCCATAGCCTGACAACATCCAACAGCATCTGAGAGTTTTAGTGCCTGGAGGCAGCGACCACTGCGAAGGTCCCCGAATGTGGCTGTGGATGTGCGTTGCAAGCCGTTTTGCACTTGGGCGGCGATCTTTGAGCGGGTCTTTGTGCAGGAGCAGGAGGAGGAGGAGGGGAAGCTGGCAACTCAAGAGGAGGCCCGCAAACCCAACAAAGCTCGTGTGCCGTTGCGTCGCTTGCGTGTGCGTCGCTCGTGTTGGCAGATGCCGGACCTCTCCTTCGCCCTGGGGGAGGAGGACACGGTGCTACTAGAGTCCGAGGCAGTCTCGGAATTCGCAATAGATGCTAGCGTCCTTGCAAGGGGGTGTTACGGTCGAGGGGAGTGGGTATCACTTTCAAGGCCGCTGCTGCGGATGAGGATGCCAAGGACCGGGAGCTGCGAAACCAGCGCAAAGTGAGGATGACGAGGCGTGTGTATTTTCGGGCACCAGCAGTTTTCATATAGCAGGATGTGACGCGAGCGGCGCATATTCTCGGACTGCGTCAGATGTTATCGTAAGTTGCCATATGCGAATGTTCCATAGCATGGGGAATGGACACGATGCGTGCCTTGCTGCCTTGCAGGCTGGACAAATCAAGGACAGCTGGAGGGGTCTTCAAAGGGACCGGATTTGGTGAGGGGTCTCGCCCTTAATTGGCCCGTTCCCTGTTTGGCATTCAGGTAGAAGCCTTCCCCATAAGCCAAGGCCCATGCGCGTGCTGCCCTTGTATGCCCAGCTTCGCTCCTGGAGGGGGTTGATCCGATCGTGTTGGCTATTGTGGCAGCACAGGAAGGGTTCTATAGCAGGCACAAAACTCATGTTCTGGAGTGAATGCTCACCTGACAGTAAGTGTTGTGATTGCGCTACACTTTGTGGTTATGAAGGGCTCAATGTTTCTTCATGCAGATACTAGGCTCAGTGGGGCAGAGCAGCCAGGGGTCCCTAGGATCCTCTGAGACATGGGCGAGCCATGTGAGCCGCAGCCAAGATGGGGATGCTGCACATGCCCCCTCCCCTTCGCCATTTCCTCTGCCAGAAGAATGCATGGGAGCTGAGGGATGCGAGGTCTCTGCACTGGCTGCCGCCCGACGCATCTTGGACTTGGGCTCTTCGCCCAAGCTGCAGAGTGTCGAGGCCGCCATTGCTGACTGCCGCTCGTTTGCATATGGCAAACCGCAGCAAAGCCCATATTCTGAAAAGGCTGGACAATCCGATTCCAAGAATCACAGAGTTCGAGCCACCGGTCCCCGTCGCCGCAGAGGCTTAGCCGCCTGGCGCCGACCGCAGCTTTGCACAGCGGCCCTTCGCAGCCTGAAGCGACGAGAGGTCCCTTCGACCTTTGTGGATGTGGAGGGGTGCCGCCCAGTCACCAAAAGTCAAAGGTCCTGGTTTTGCAAGGCCGAGAGTCACCTAGTCACCTAGTCACGTGCCGCCGACTTATCTCGGTAGCGAACTTCAGCGAACTGCAGGCGGGAGCTGGCGAGCTGCAGGCAGCCGTGCTGCGGGCCCTCTTGCCGCTTGCACGATACTTTCCAGGCTTTGCCTCTTCTCCTCGAATGTTCCCTCTGGCCGCCTAGAAGCATCGGGGTTCCACTAACAACAACATCGTCATAACCTGAACCAGAAATTCAGAACCCATGTACTACATTTTTTAAGAAGCTCTGGTCGATGGCAAGCATCGGTCCAGCGCCAAGCAGTTCAGCTTGCCAGGAACCTGTCGCTGGAGGTCAACATCATTCACTACAACACCGTACTGCAGACTTGCAGGCGAAGTGGAGACTGGCAGGTTGCTCTAAGACTCTTGACCCACATGGCTGGGGCAAGCACCCAGTCGCTTGTCTGCAGGCATCCGCAGGATCTTCGGGAATATTTTTTGAAGTTTGTTGAATCTCGGTGTGGCAGAGAGAAGGCCGGACGTGATCAGCCGCAACGAAGTCCTGGGAGCATTTGCCGCGGCGGTTTGCTGGCAAAGGGCGCTGGCAGCCCTCCTTACAGAGGGCCTTGGCTTTCAATGCAACAGCATCACCTTCAACAATGTAGCCAGAGCCTGCCGGAGGACAGGGCTTTAGTTTGAGTCACGTCTCCCAGAGTCGCAGCGCTGGAACGTCTCGGAAGGAGTGGGCACTGGCAGCTGGCCTTGTGTGTCCTGGCATTGCTTGTGGATGCCCGGGTGAAGCCTGATGTGGTCTCCTATGGCCTTGCCATGGATGCCCATGGTGCAGGTGGGGTTGAGGGAGGTGAGTCGTGAGGTGGCTGATTTTTGCACTGACGCGGCCAGGTGGCCATTGGGAGTTGGCCCTGGGAGTTCTACCATCGATGCTGCTCTGCTTCATGCTGCGTGTGCAACAAAAGCGGAGGATCAAGCTTACCCAGCTGAGGTCAAAGGCGGCCATCGCCCCCGACCTCGTATGTGTCCTGGACAAAATCAGGGTGTGCCCAAGAGTCGTGTGTGGACGAGGGAGCCGCAGCGGGTGTATTCTCGTCCGCCAGAACACCCAGTTGACAGATCTTTCCAATCAAGAGTGAGGGCCAAAATGCTTGCCCCGAGGTTACACAAGTGTCCTCAAAGCCTGTGCTCAGCACAGCCAATGGAGAGCCGCAGTGGAGTTGCTGATGAACATGAGCAGAGCGCAGGTGGGAAGTACATTTCACTGATGACCAGGTTGCGCGTTTCTTTTGTGTCGCTGAGACACACAAGCTGCTTGTTGGCACGTAAAGGTGCTGCCGGACCTGGTCAGCTACACGGCTGTCTTGCGTGCTTGCCCTTGGAGGGCTTGGCCCAGAGCGGTGGACTTGTTGCGATTGCTGTCCGCCACAACCATCCCAGATACCGTTGCCTTCAATGCGGCGCTGGTGTCGATCTCGGGCTCATGGCCCAACGCTGCGCAGTTGCTACGACACATGTGCGGCAGATGTGTACGCCGTGATATGATCACAGGGAGCATGCTCATCAGCGCGTTCAACTCTGCAAGCCGGTGGCCTCTCTCTGTCCAAGATCTGCTTTGGTCCAGGCGACAGTCTTCCGCTGCACTGGGTTCCCTGCCAGCCGAGCATTGGCGTTTGGCACTGCATCAGCAGCTGGAGCAGAAGTTGGCCACTGGCGATGTGGCAACGCACAGCGTCTTGATGAAATCATTCTCCGAAGCGGGTCGGTGGCCCCTGTCGCTGCATATCTTCGGCAAGATGGAAGCCAGCGCAGTGCCCTGCAGTAGTTGGCGTGTGCATGACTGTGGCATGAGAAGCAAGCGAGCTCCAAGGGGTTTTGGTTTGTCTTGGTGACAAGTGCCTTCAGATAGGTGCAGCCCGATGCCATCAGCCGGCAGACCCTGCAGCAGCTTGGCGGTGCATGCTGCATGTTGGGCCACCGTTTTTGAAACGATTCACCGGTATGGTTTCGGGCATGAAGTCCTGATGTTTGGAGTTGGGGCAGATATGAGGGTCAATGCAGGCAATTCTATACACCAAGCGGTCTGCTGTTGGTTCTGCCTTTGGGTCTCAGATTCTGAGGCGGGCTCAGCAACTGGCCTATGAATTGCCCAAAGTGGGGGAGCTCATGCCCGCCGGCATTCAGACCTGCTCGCCTGCGTGGCCAGCTTCTCTGCGAGCCTTGGCGAGGCAGTTGGTGGAGGACCCTGTTGCTATCCATGCCGGCCTGGTCAACGCGCTTCAGTCGGAGCAGCTGGCAAGCCCTCAGGACAGGAACCAAAAATGTCTTCGGGTAGGGTCCACCGGGTGGGTAGGTCACCGCTGGTCCCCCAGGAGCTGTCTTCGTTTTGGTGGTCGTGTGCGATGCTGGGTGCAAACCTTGTGGCTGGGTCCGAGTCCATCATTGCATCCTGGCTCCAGCTTCCCGTCAGGCTGCTCTATGGGCCCTTTCGCTTCAGTTGAAGTTTGATGGCGTTTCCTTGAGGCATTGACCATCCGGCAGCTGCAGCAGATGACGTCGGAGGCTGCTCGTCACAAGTTGCATGATGGCCAGCTGGTGCAATAGATGGTGGATATTGTGGTGTGATTCGGGGTTTGCGCTTCCTTGTGCTTCCTTGCGGTGTGCTGAGGGTCTTCTGGCGACTGCCTTGGGTGCTGCTAGCGATCCTTCCAGCTCCTTGTGCATTGGGAAATATTGGGGTGCATAAGCAACTGGCAGCATGCAAACATTGGCCTGCTCCTTGAAATGTACTAAGGTGCTGGCCTCTTGTTGCACGTGCAGGATGAAGCCATGAGCAGATTGCAGCTGGGGCTTCCAATGGCCACGCAAGACGTGCTGGGCACCATCGCGGCCTGCAAGCTTGCGGGCTGCGTTCGCGCTGGCCTCGTGCAGGCTGCGCCATGTTGCGGGTGCTTGAGGTGCTTTGAAAGTACGAAGCACTTCAGTGAGCAGATGTGAGAAGACTTCGGCCGAGGCTGCCGCCTGCTTGAGGACACGGGAGGCGGAAGTCTCCGACACTGGCGGTGCTTCGCTTTGGAGAGGATCGGTCGCAGGTGCTGCAGACGCGCCTCATGCAACTTGCCAGAAACTTGGAAGTGGTACGATGCACCAAGTGATGGGGCAAGGCCACCAAAAGAGCCAGCAAGCATCATCATCGCAGAATGCAGAACCTGCAGCAAGCCAGGTCGTCTTCGAGCTGGCAGATCGGGCCCTGCTGTTCAAGCCGCCGGGGTGGGAGGCGCCCATAACCGGGGAAGCTGTATGAAGCTTGTGGAATATGTGCAGCTGCGGTTTCCGCAGGTGCATGATGGCAACCTGCCGCAGCGCCAGCTAAGCACCTTTGCGCAGGCCCCGGCCCCGGGGCAGATAAACTTTCTTTTTAACAATTTTAAATTTTAAACAAGAAATTAAATCTTCAGCAGGCTTCTGAAGTCTGTCCACAGCAAACGACCTGAGCAGGAAAAGTGGGCTGGAGCACGAATTCTGAAAGATCCGACGTGCAACTACGGATTTCTTCACCGGCTGGACGTTCCGAATTCGGAGCCTTGCCCACCATGGTGTTGCCAAATGTTCCAGAGTGACAGTTTCTTGCAGCAGCCGTGGCATGAGGGCCTGCTGCTGCTGGCCAAGTCGCATCGTGCCTACGATGACCTCCAGGTGTGTGCGCTTCTCTCCTGCTTCTCAGAGGGCCAAGAATGCTGGAGACATGCCGAGTCAGGTGCAGCTGTCTGCTGGCCAGATCGTCCGGGACTATGTCGTCCTCTCACGGGGTACCCCACGCTCCCGAGCCATCACCGCACGGGTGCAGCGCCAAAGTGTGCGCAGCTCCTGCGGGGGCCGGGGCCGGCCCAGCGCCACGTGCCTGCGCGTCCTGCGTTCGGCCATGGCGCCCATGGGTCCGCCTCTTAATTGTTACCTTGCGCGGGAGAGTCAGACGAAGCTTCTAAAGAGTGAGAGCACCCAGCAAGCGAGAGTTCCTAGAGAGGTGCAGCGAGTTTGCTGGATATTCGAATTGTGACTGGACGGCAGCACCAGATCCGCTGTCACCTGGCTCACATCGGGTCGCCGACAGTTTGTGCGCCTCAGCGGGCAGTCGGGCTTTGTCGAACAAGTCTTTACATGTCTTTACTCTCTCTACTAGCTGTTACTAGCATTGCTTTCAAGGATGCCCTCTACACAAGCGTGAGCACGTTTGAAGCCGATCTCACCTTCAGCCCTCGCAACTGGCTCCACCGGCACCGGCTGGCATTCCTAAACTCTGATGGCGTAGAATGCGAGGTGACTTTGCCCATTCCACAAGATCTGCAGG